TGCTTACACTGGCGAGCTCAATCCAAATCCGGGAAAGCATGAATCTGTCCTCACCAGGGGCTGTGCCAAACAGCTAATCTGAGGGATGGGAGAGGGCAGGAAGTTGTGCCAGGACAAAAGCAGTGCAGAGGACCAGGCCAAATGTGGGTAGAAAAACCTTTGTTAATTCACCTCAAGAAACAGAGCCACCAGACTGACAGTAAAGAACACTTGCATGCTGTTTATAACTTGCCCTGCAGGACACTAGGATACATTTCTGTCCTGTTTCAGACATCGCTGTTTGGTGAAGGCACCTATCTCACCAGTGACCTCAGCCTGGCTCTGCTCTACAGCCCACACGGCCTCGGGTGGCAGCGAAGCACATTGGGCTCCATCCTGAGCTGCGTTGCTGTCTGTGAGATCATCGACCACCCCGACGTCAAGTGCCAGGTGAAGAAGAAAGGTGAGCCTGTTGCAGTAATAACTACAAACAGTTCAGCCCTTGTTCAGCACCATTTGTGTTTCAGCTCTGGGCACATACATGGCCTTAGACAGTGTGGTATATGGGGCTTTCTTTTCTGATTGACCCCTCACCAGGCACATATAAGCCTTGCAATACTATCTTCAGATGCATATTTGAAGGATAGACACTAATTTGGTTGCATCATTTATTCTTATGATAAGTTCACCTTTCCTGATGCCTATGATGGTGGGACAGGAGCATCAGAGTGTAGCAAAAAGGAACTATCTTAGATATCTAGACTAAGAAGCCTCTGCTCAGGTTGTCCATCTCCTTTTTGCTTGCAGGACTCAGTCCTTCAGCGTTGTTTTTCTTCCCCTGTTAACATGAGCAGCCCTCCAGCACTGTGTGTGACCCGCCTCCATCTCACCCTGGTCTGTGCTGGAATACCACCCATACCAGGGATGACTAGGAGTGGTGTAGCCTCAAGCAAACTTTTTGGTCTATTCCTGGATGCTAAAGGATTCTGGGGAATGCTGAGATCTTTGATTATCTCATTCCCACCCCTGTGGGTGTACATGCGTGTGAAGGTTGTTTGTTTGTTTTACAGTCACATGGGAGTTTGGCTGCTCTGTTCCTTGAAGAGCTCTTCTTTCTCCTTCCCATGCAGATTCAGAAGAAATAGACAGAAAAAGAGCAAGAGTGAAGAACAGCGAAGGTGGTGACGTGCCACAGAAGTACTTTGTTGTCACAAACAATCAGCTCCTCCGAGTTAAATACTTGCTGGTATATTCGCAGAAACAGCACAGGAGGTAAGAGCTCAGCCACCTAGATTGATGAGCATGGTGGAACAGATAGATAAACCTACCCTATTTGTGAAAGAGCAACAGGAACAAGCTGCAGAGACCCACATCACTCATGAAATCCATGCACTTTTCCCTTTTCAGGCCTTCAGGTCAGTCCTGGTTTTCCACCCACCGTTTTGCCATAGCAATGATGCTGTACCTCCTGCTGCTGATCGTGATTGGGGCCAGCAACTCACCAGCCTTCCTCTACTACTGGCACAGAATGTTTCACTCAGAGGGATGAATTGCCCTTCAAGATAATAAACTGCTGTTTTCACTGTGTGCCTTAATAACAAGGAATCCACCAAGCTCTGCATCTGTTCCAGAGCTCTGGAAATAAAAGATGTTTGGCACTTTCCAGTTATTATTTCTGTATTCCTGTGATTCATGAAGACACCCAGTACAGCTGAGAAGGATCTTAATAGTGCAGCTTAGCATGAACTGATTCTTAAGGGTCCATGGAGAAAGTTATTTAAAATTAATGAAAACTAAGTGTGGAAATATTCTGCTGTCATTATTTTCTGTCAGATTGAGTTAGTAATGTTTGCACTAGGTGGAAGGGAGTTTCTCCCTGTACGTCAAAGTCCAAGTTTGTTTTCAGAAACTGTATGTAGAGATGTTTGTTATGTATCAATGCAGGTGGGTTCACATTTAAAACAGACTATGATTTTGACCATTAATTTTTATATTTAAGCATAATGATTGTAAGAAAGAAAGAAATAAAACAGCAACCAAAATGGAAGAAACTAAATGACTTCTACCTCAGTGCCATCCTTCCCCTTCAACCCCCCCCACCCCCCCCACTCCCCATTGGAACACATACAGGATTGCTGCTCTCAGCCATGACCCACCTTGATTAGCACATAAGATCAGACAGACTTGGGCACTTCAGCATCAATGCTGAATGTGCATTTTGCTGTCAGACTGCTTTCCTCAGGAGGAAGAGAGAGGGTAAAGGGTTCCATGCACAGCCACCTGGCAGCCTTTATAGGGTTGGAGCTAACCAGAACAAGATCTCATCACATATCCATAGCAAGGGAGTCTGATTCCTAACCCTACTCATGAAATATTTCAAATCTCTCTCTCTTTCTCTAACATTCTGTTACCTAATTGCCAGAAATGACAACCTGCCAATCAGGTTTCCTAACTCAGTTCTGAGGACACATACAGCAACCCCTCTCCTTGGTGGATAGAGCTGGAAGCATTTATTCCAGTTAATTTTACTGCCAAGACCAATTTATTTATTCACCATACAGCTTGCAAAACAAGAACATTATAGTCCAATTCCCCATTGCCTTTTACAGTCCATTAATAATGCTCACTGATACAGCACATTGCATTGCCACAGCCCATGAAACATACGTGCTAATTATAGCTCTGATTTGCAATTAAAATATACATAAACCAACAATTCACTGCACAACAGATTCAGCTACAGTAGCTGGATATTTCAATCTAGGAATTTGGGGTTTGAAACATGCATTGTGTTTCTGAGATTTTTTTTTTTTTGCCTGCTTTTGGTCTATTTCAACAAGTGATCTTTAATGTGCCATGGGTTTAGGGTAGGTAGGATGCCAGGCAGAAATCCTAAAGCTGTTTGGTGCTGTCTGGAGGGTGGTACTATGTTGGTAAGAGCCTTGGTGTGTGCCTGCAAATGAAACATCTTTGGGAACAGATGGGATATCCGGGGCCCTTTGAAAAAGAAGGGGCTGAAGCAGCAGTTGTTTGATGGATGGTTGCTTTGCTGCAGGGAAAGGCACAGACCTGGAGCCCAGCAGCCAGGCAGAAGGAACAGATGGGAAGAAACATGGCACGGTTTGAAGGCTCCTTTGCATAGAGAAATTTCCTGAAGGATAAGCAGAATGAATTAATGCATAGTGGCCATTCAGCACTATCTCCCAGTGTCTGTCTGGGCTTTTATTTGGCTTTAAACCAGCACTGTGTTAAACCAGCAATACCAAAGAGTGGATTTTTCCACTCCCAGGTTTGAGCAGACCCACAGGAGAGAGGGGCTGCAGGCAGGGAACCCTGGTGGTTCTCTGGAGCTCTAGAGCCCCATCTGGGACTGCTGATCTCAAAGGCAATAGGAAAATGAATGCATTCTATCTTAGTGGGCCATCAAAATACTTAATAGCCAACTCTGGTGCTTGTTTTCTGTGCTCCCTGCTGATTTCAGCATGTGTTTCCCAACGTGGCGAGATGCAGTCAACTGAATTAATGCGAGTGTTGTGTTGAATAACCAACAATATTCTGAATTAACCTGAGGTTCCGTTAAGCTCTTAAGCCACTTGTGTGGCTCTTTGAACACGCACAGTGCTATAAAAACGCTAATGGAAAACAAATCAGAGCTTCTTCCTGAAGAAAGAAACACTGTCTGAAGCAGAGGGTTAGAATCATAGAGTCATTAAGGTTGGAAAAGACCTCCAGAGGTCACCAAGTCCAACATCAGCCCACCCCCACCATCCCCACTGGGCCATGTCCCTCAGTGCCACAGCTGAGGCTGTGCAGGCAGGCAACCAGGGCAGAAAGCAGAAGCACGCGGGGCGAGCAGGAGCAGGGTACTGCTTGGCAGCACACTCCCCCAGTGACATTTCCCTTCTATCATGAAAGCTGTCACTTTGGGCATCTTGCCCATGCTCTGGGCTCGCCGAAATGTCAGCCTTTAAGCACCAGAGAAGGGAAGAAAGGAAGCAGTAGGGAGTAACGCACAGCATGCACAAAGCACCCACAAGCATCTTGGGGACCACATCCCAAGGACTGAGGGATGTGTCCTCCCCAGCATCCCAAGGAGAAGAGTTTTCCTATAGTGCCACAGTTCATAGCATCACCAAGTGGTTGGGGTTGAAATGGAGTTTTCACATCATCTAGTTTAACCTCCCCAGTATGAGCAGGGACGCTTTCCAGTACACCAGGCTGCTCGAAGCCTCATCCAGCCTGGCCTCGAGCACCTCCAGGGATGTGGCTGCCACAGCTTCTCTGGACAACCTCTCCCAATGCCTCACCACCCTCATAGGAAAGAATTCCTTAAAAATATCCCAAAGCCAGAACACTTTATGCTCTCCCACCATACCTACAGGCCATAAAGGTAACAAGTCCCTCCCAAAAGGAAATACACTTCTTAGATGCCTACAAGCTCTCCTAACACCATACAAGAGTGGACAAGTGACCTTAAATAAGTCTGGATACAATTTGCTCCCACTCAGCAGAAATTCACTAAAGAATGTTTAAGAGATTAAAGGCACTCTGCCACTAATTCAAGGCTCAAACAACCAACACATTTTTCCCCCCATAGGGATCTTCAGCCTTACAGCAGGACCAATAGAACGTAGAATAGCATAAGTTGGAATGGACCTTGAAGTTCATCTAGTTCTAAGCCCCTGCTACAGATAGGGTTGCTAAAGGAGGGTCTGATGAGCAAGTTGCCTTCCCCACCAGAACCCATTCACACCACCTTTGAAGAAACCCCACTGGCACCAGTCAAACCAAGACAGCCTACTCTGCTAGCATTGCAAAATTAACCTTGAGTGGAGCAAGCCCAGAAAAGCCAAAAGGCAATTACATATCTCACTGCAGTTCAGATGCTTTCAGCAGCTCAAATTAATCCCAGTTGGCTGACTGAGCTCTTACAGCTCTGATTGATCCCCCCCTCCCCCCCCCCACTTCAGGCAGTTGAGACAATGCTTAACATGGTGAAAGGCAAGTACTCAACACCTGTCCCCAGCCTGCTATCACCCAAAGCACCACAGCTGCCCAGCCAACACCACTTACCACTCCTTTTGTTTAAACCCCACTTGGTTTTTGTGGGCTGGGCACTGGGAGACCAGTCCAGATCCTTTCTTACCAACAGGGATTCATCACTCCAGGCTTCTCATAAAGTAATTGATTTCCAGGAGGATCTCAGCTTCCCCACACACACATTTACAGCCACAAGTCAAGAGTCTTATTAATACATTCATGCTGATAAAACTCAAGTGCTCATTCAAAGCTACAGTAGTCACAAAAATACTCAGAACTGTTTCCTGACAAATCCAGAACCTCATTTGCCCAAGGACTTCACACAACAAAAAAACAGCCAACCAGCAACACTAAAGAACTCCTCTTAGCTCCAACTAAAGCTGCCTTCAGAAACAAAAAAACCAAACATTTAACAACAACGAGCATCTCACAGAGAAGCAATCAATTACCCCTAACTGCATACAACACAGCTGAATAAATTCATACCTTCAACATACACCTAAAGACAAAGACCTCCATAAACTTCTGGCACGTTAATGAAAAGACAATAAATAAATAAAAACAAAATAAAAATAAACCATTTTACTCACCAGAGCTCAGCCAACTCCTTCCTTCCTCCACCCTGACTCTTCTAGCAGCTTCTCTGCTCTGTGCTGTGCATTTAAAGGCCATCAGCACCCAGCTGGCACCCACAGCAGCTGATGAGCCCTCCCCCCACAGGTGTTTCCCATCACAGTCCTCCTTAGGATGCACAGGGTCATCAAGTGCACCTGGCTGCATGCACTCTGATTGGAGTCAGCAGTGAGGTGTGGGTGGTAGGGCAAAGCAGACATGAGTGCGTGACAAAGGGGAAAGCAGGGAGGAGAAAAGGTGGGTTAATTCTGTTAGCATGTGCAAGATGGCAGTTGGGAGGGGCTAGGCAGCAGCAGGTCTTGTTCTCACCCTTTGGTTACCCCAAATACTTACTCCTGGTCAATCCTGTGTCCCAGATTGTTGCTACATAAGGACGTATCCACACCACCTTTGCATGAGGTGAGACACCACTGTGTCCCTTTCAATCCTATCTCAGCCCACTGCAGCTCTTTGTATTGTTCTTGTCTGTCTCCATCCCCATAGTATCTCCTCCCTCCCTGCAGGGGCAGCCTGAGGGGAGATGGGTCAGGCAATGACCCCAAAATTGCTTTTATGGATGCCATAGCAAGGAGAAGACTGGACAAGACCTCAGGCTTGTTGGTCTCTAATAAATGAGGCCCAGCCCCTCCACTGCATCTTCCTTGTGCAGGGTGAGAGTAGCTCCTACCTGAGGATTCACTCTCAGTACAGGCAGGAGAAATGTTCATGGTTTATGGCTATAGACCCACACCCCCCACAGTCAGTTGGTGAACTTGTCTCCAAAATCATCCAGACAAAGCAGCCCCTGATGCTGCTAGTCTCCATCTGGTACATCTCTTCAGCACACCGTGTTAATGGTTGTCCCATTGGAGCCACCCGATGCCACCTGGCCATTGACAGCCCCATCTTTGGTGGTCTTCTCTGAGACTAAGACGGGTTTGTGTCTCTCATGCCTGGTAATGGCTGCTTCAATTCCCCTGAGACACGACTGCACGTCCTCCCGAAACGAGGGGGTGTACAGCCCATAAATGATGGGGTCGGTGCATGTGTGCAGCAAGCCGAAGAGAAAGAAGCTGTGGTTGATGTACTCAGGCATCCTCTGGATCATGGCTGGCTGGAACCAGTACCACAAACCCAGGAGGTAGTACGGGGTCCAGCAGATGATGAAGGTGGCAACAATCACAATGGTCATCTTGAGAGTCTTCATGCGTGCCTTGGAGATGTGGTCATTTTGACTTCTTACCAGACCTGTTGGGGAGAGTCAAAAGGACAGCAGGAGGTGTGAGAGAACAAGAACGTAACCACCAGTGGGAATCCCAGAATCCTGCTGAGCCCTAAGGACCTGCTTACTTTTGTTGATCTTTAGCTGCTTACTGATCTCCCAAATGATTCGGACGTAGCAAACAATCATGATGCTCAGGGGGGTGATATAGAGGGTGGTGAAGGTGAACATGTTGTAGACAGTTTCTTCCCAGTGTGCTCGGAAGCTGCCGTGAGTAACGCACTGTGTGAAGTTCCCTCCTGGGACCGTGTGCAGGTGGAAGAGAAATAGCTGAAATCAAGAACCAAATCACAACTCAGAAAAGCTCTGGGGCAGGACACACACTGCATCCAGGCAGTGCTTGGGGCCAATGCATGCAGCTCCATGCTATTCTCTTGGATCACGTCACTGCCACAAGAGAGAGGAGATCACTGCCTCTCCATTCCCCTTGGCAGGAAGCTGGAGGATACTATGAGGAGGCTCTTGGCCTCCCCTCAGCCTCCTGGAATGAACAAACCAAGAGACCTCCACCACTCTTCAGTGCACCAAACACAGCAAAGCCAATCTGGCCATGGTGGGATCACAGATTGGGATGGATTTGTTGCTTCAGCCCTTCTCCAACCCAACCAGGTCAGTAACCCCATAAGGAAACCACCCAGGCCTACCTGGGGTGATGCTAGCAGCACACTGCCCAGCCATGCAGCACGCAACAGCAGCCCATTGCGGCGTCGGGCACGAGCAAAGGGCTGGAGGACGGCAGCATGCCGGTCCAGGCTGATGACCACCAGCACCAGGGCAGCCGCATACATGGCAAAGAGCTTGAGGAAGTTGAGGAGCTTGCAGGAAAGGTCTCCGCCATACCACTGCACCGTCACATTCCATGCTGCATCCAAGGGCATCACTGCCACCGTCACCAGCAGGTCGGCCAGCGCCAGGCTGAGAATTAGTGGCCGCACGTGGCACTTCTTCCTCTTCCTCAGCAGGCTGCCCAGCACTGCTGTATTGCTGCACGCTGCCAGCAAGAAGAAGATGGCCGTGACGGCCACGCGCACCTTTGCAGCCTGCGTGAACCGGGGCTCGACCCAGTGCTGCGGGCAGCGAGCGGCCGAGGTGTTGGTGACCCCCTCCGTGGTGGGGTGGTGGGGTGGTTCAGCTTCAATTAAAGCAGCTGGTAATTAGAGAGAAATCATAGAGTTATGAAGTTTGAAAAGACCAATACGATCACCCAGTCCAACCACCAACCCATGCCTGTGAGTGCTCTAGACCATAACACTCTGCAACATTTACCCTTAGATCAGGAGAAGGTGGGATGTGCAGTCTGGCAGCAATCAACCCTAGCTCCGCACTGCCCATCCATGTGATGCTCATTTGGGCTGCCCAGGTGCCTTCCCCGGCTCTCATTCAGCCCCCTGTAGCTATAGCAATTGCTTGCCCAGATGTATTTTTAGCTTTTTGCAGGGCAGTAGAGGAGCTGGGGAGCAGTGGCTGCAGCCATGGGATGGCACATCCTACCTTTGCAAATAGATTTCAACCTTTTAAAAAATCCCACAGTGCTTCCCATTAGCAATTTAACGCTTAATGGTCTGCCTCCATCCATGGTGCCGGGTCCCCTGTGCCCAGCTGATGAGTGCCTCTGGTTTGATCTAATTGCCCCTTTATTCCCAAGCACAGCCAGCTTGGGGACAGCTTGCATTTCAAGGGCAAATGCTCCAAACTCTCATGCACACAAGCATTAATGCTCCCCACTGCCAGGAGGTCTCTGAGCATCCTGAGAGCCTTCTGGTTGCCAATATCCAATTAACACATTCCCCACCTTAAAACGAGTTGCAGAGACCAACCTGTTCCCCCAGGGAACTTGTCCATCCCACCCAATGTGTCTGTGGGATGGAGACACCTATGCCCTCCTCCAGTCCCTTCGCTGTATCCCTCCCTTTCCTCCCCAAGAAATACCCAGAAAGCAAGCAGAGAAAAGAAACAAAGTCCCAAGCCATTGCTGTCCATGTGGACTTGTCCCAGCAGATGGGGACATACCTGGCACACACATGCCCTGAAGCGAAGAGAAACGCTGCCCGTCCCCGCAGCAAGTCAGGCAGCTCCAGTGCTGAGCATCCGTGCGTCTGCACAGCCGGCAGCTCGCTGCTATTAGCAGAGATGTATGCAGCCTCTGGCATCTGGAGAAGGCAACGCCGACGCAAACATTCCCTGCAGCAAACCTGGAGGTGGGCACCCCTGCCCTGCTGGCTTAACGAGCGATCCGCTTTTAGTCCTAATGAGCCGGCTGTGGGAGTGGAGCTGATGGATGGCAAGAAGTGGCCAGTGCTCAGGATGTTGTCTGTTGCTGTTGTGACCAAACGTGGCCCCATCAGGGACCAGCGCCAGCATGCACCGCATCGGTTTTCTATAAATACAGGGAAATGAGTTAATTATCACTGGGGTTGGTGATGAGCATCCTGTTGCTCAGACAACCGGGAGCTCGCAGCCTACATGGCCATGTGCGCACCCAGCGATGCTCCGCCACTGGCTGGGTCTGTGTGAGCCCAGAGGTGAGCTCAGGTGTGTGCTGGCCTGGAAATGCCATAAGGAGGGATTAAACCCAGAGGGGAACTTTGGTCGTGTTGCTGCTTTAATAAATAAACTCATTTATCTCTGCTTTCCTAATTCCCATCTCATTATTTTTTGAGTTTTTTCAGCATTTTAGTGGTAGGCAGACTAGATGATATTAGAGGTCTTTTCCAAGCTTAATGATTCTATGATGATTCCATGGTCACACAAAGTTCCAGAGTGGACAAAGAGCTCACGGGGGCTTAAAAACCACAAGGCTGGGGCTTGTTTCCCCTCTCTGTGGTTTCAGTCATGCTGCCTACCATGGCAGCCGGTGGATCACCCAGGGTTTTGGGCAAAGGCAGCACGTGGCAGAACCCTGAGATCCAGGGCATGCACAGCCTTTATGGGACTACATCCAGCATCCTACACCCGGGATCACTTCTGCACTTCTGCCCCCAAAATGTCAGCTCATGGAAATGGAGGGAGCTTGTCCCCAAAGACCCAAAGCCATGGCAGGCAGAGTGGCAGGGAACAGTCCCCACTGGCTCCTTACCTGGCATGGACATCTGTGAGGAGAGACTGTTCCTGGGGCAGAAAAAAGCACTGAAAGCACACAGGAGCTGGGTGTGAGCCCACTCATGGCAGCAGCCTTCTCTTCTGGACAAAGCGGAGAGGAATGCAGCCCCACATCTTGATTTTTCCTTTCACTTAGCTCTTTGCACCTGCTCTAAGGCAATTAAATAGTGGGTCAGGAATGCATTCCCTGTTTGTCCTCCCTCCTGGCCAGCTGCCCCATGTCTGGAAACGTCCTCCCGACCCCAAATGCATGATGCAAGAGAAGGACAGGATTTTTCCTGGGAACCATCCGCCCCGCTCATGCCACAACAAAGGCTTTGGTTCCTGTTCAGAGAGGATTTTTGCAGCATGCCATCACGCAGCCATGTCCTGGGCATGCATTACTAATGAGACATTTTAAGGGTGTGGTCCCTTGTTAAAATGACTATTTTTCCCCATTTTTTAAAATTTTTTCATAGTAAATCTCCTGTGTTTTCTTTTCGTTGTTGTTGCTGCTCCTCTCCCTAAAGGTCAGCTGCCTGCTGAGCACTGGTTTAACCATCACGTTGTTGGGCAGAAGGATTGGGAAGCAGCACTGCTGGGCTGTTCCCATACAGCCCCCACTGGGCTGGAATGCTGTCCTGGGACCACAAGAAGCATGGGATCACCTGCAGCAGAAGTGCAGCTGGAGCACGTTTTGCATTGCACATCCCATATAAACTGGGGTCTTGCAGACCCTCATTCCCTGCCCTTGTGCAGGTGCTTTTGGCATCCCTGAATCCCTGTTTGCTCAGTGAGCCTCACCCTTCAGACTCTCAAATGCAGACATTTTTCTTCTGGTTCTTCTTTTCCTCCTCCAAGCTCTGAATTGTCTCCGGAGCCGTTCGTCCAAGGAAATTCTTGTCTCATACTGGACTTGAAACAGAAAGTCTAGTCAGAGACATCTGACATGCGGTGTTTTTGTGAGTAAATACCAGTGTCCATGAAGTCATTTCCCGGGGTTAGAGATGAGCTCAGCCCTGGAATGGCTTCTATTCTTCCCCAAAGTCCACAGCAGACAGTGCGTGGCTCCCTGCTCTCCTCCTGCTCACTAAAATCTGCACTGGAGCTGTGCATCACACCAGTTTGCTGAAATACTCACTGCAGAAAGCAGCGAGGGGGTCACAGGACACCTGTGAGCCCCTCTGCAAGGAGTGGTTCAATATATACATTGGGTGTCACTGTGGCAAAACCATACAGCAAGAAGGCTGTACCCAATGGGGTGCATACAGCTGTTTGCAGACATCTTTGCAACTTCTTTGGGTTTTTCTTTGTGCAATAATGCTCTGTTTCTGGATTCAGAGGTGCTGCAGCACTCAGACCCTTCTTCAGGTGTGCTGTGCCTCTAAGCATCGAGAAAAACGTTCTCAATGCTCAGTCTCATCAGAGTGGTTGGTTTTTGGTAGCCTGGTGTTGCAGAGCTCAGTGAGCCATGGTCAGTCGTTCCTAGCAATGTCCATAGGGAGCTGGGAAGGATGGCAGGAAGGTGAGCAAGCTGACAAGGAGGATGCTCTCCCCTCACACCCACCCTTTGCCATGCCTAAAGTGGATGAGAGAGGTGAGTTGGTTTCTGTAGAACAAGCCTCGAGGTGTAGTCAGCACATAGGTTTGGTGACCTGCCCAGTGACCTTGCTGCCTGACCCTGCTATTTTTCTTGAGCTGGAAGTGATGAAATCCAAATGTTTTCATTGTGACTAACCTACGGAAGCGAACAATTTTGCTCTTGGTTTTGGATGGGTTTTAGTGGCTCTCCTCCTCCTCATCTTCCGTGCCCTCTTTCATCCATCCTATTTTTACTCTCTGCTTCCATCACCTCCTGTCTCTTCCTGCTGGCCGCGTGCATCAAACGCCCTTCTCTCTCTCAAGCTCCCCAGGGTGTTTGGACCCAAATCTGATGTTTCTTACGGGAAAAGCTGTATCCACAGGATGGAGCTGAGCCACAGAACTCACCATGGCATCCTCTTTCCCTCCTGGGGAGGACGTGGTGCTGCTTTTTTGGGGGTTGCTATTTGCAAATCCATTCCCAGAAGGCACTGTGGGTTATCCAGATGTTGCCAAAGAGCAGCTCTTGGCTTGATGCTCCAGTTCATGGAATCCTGACAGTCCTTTGCCAGCATCAATCAGCTGCCACCCCCCTGCCTTGACCTGATCTAGAGGGAAAAATGGAGCAAGAAAAATTATAGTGAAACAAAAGCTACTACCCCATCACCTTCCTCCAGCTCTGAGTGCATCTGAGCCTGAAGCAATTGCATGTAAATAAGAGCAATAAATTATAGATTTCTTCAAGACTAATTAATTGCTCAAGCCAACACAGGGTGATCTTTGTCCATCAAGCAGAAAACCAAACACCTGGAGGGCTGTGGGTTGGAGCTCTGCTACTGCCTTTCCTTTGCATGTTAAATGTCCCCATTCAGAGTGGTCCAATCCAAGTGGTCCCATCACACCCTGCCTGGCACTGACCTCTGTATTGCACCACTCATGCTGCAGGTGTGGGACAGGAAGGTGCTGGGACGTGCAGTACTCAGAGGGCCATGGTTCAGTGGGCATGGTGTGATGGGTCAATGGTTGGACTTGGTTATCTTTTCCAGCCTTAATGACCCTGTGACTCTATGAAACAGTGGCCACATCTTGTGGTGTTGAGATGAGTCGTGCTCAGAAATGTGATTATAAAGGGATTTGCTACTGAGACTTTCTGGTGCTCTTGGAGCAACCTCCATCTCACCTCTTTGGAGGTATGATGGGGAAGGACTGAGCCCAGTGATGGCCATGACATCAGAAGAGACATACTAGGGGACCCTGCTGACCCCAAGACCGCTGTGTTGTGCCCACTCTGCAGTGCTTTCTGCTCCTGTTTCCCAGATATGGGTGGATGCTCCATCCCTGGAGACATTCAAGGTCAGGTTGTTCACGGCTCCAAGCAGCCTGATCAAGCTATAGATCTTATTTTGGAAGGGACCTCAAAGACCACCCTGCCACCATCCCTGCCATGGTGGGGGCTGGGTGCCCCCCCCCCCCCCCCCAACCCAGGCTGTCCAGGACCCCATCCAACTTGGCCTTGAGCACCTCCAGAGATGGGGCATCCACAATTTCTCTGGGCAGCTGTGCAAAGGCCTCACTGGCCTGTGAATAAAAATTTCTTCCTAACATCTCACCATTTCTTCCTACCATCTAAGCTAAATCTCCCCTCTATTAGTTCATAGCCATTCCCCCTTGTTCTGTCACTTTCAGATCATGTAAAAAGTTTGCCCTCCTCCTTCTTATAAGCTCCTTTCAAGCACTGTAAGGCCACAATGAGGTCTGCCCTCACTGAGCCTTCTCTTTTCCAAGGTAAACAAGACCAGCTCCCAAGCTTTCTTCATTTGAGAGGTGCTTCAGCCCTTTGATCATCTTTGTGGCCCTCCTCTGGAACTGGAGGTGTCCCTATCATTGCAAGAGAAGTTGGGCCGGATGACCTTTAAAGGCCCCTTCCAACACAAACAATTCCATAACTCTATCAATGCTGCAGGTGGAGCCTGCACTCTGGGTTCAGCCCCTAAGTGAATCCTTCCAGGGGGAAACACCAGACTGCTCCTTCTTGCCTAGCCACAGCCCATAAATCCTCATCTGTGTAATAAAAACAAACTCCAGTAGTTCCTTCTTTGGGCTCTTTCCCAAAGCTTTTAGGCAGCTGGAGTTTGCTTTTGTGCTGATGAAGCGGTGGAGGAGGGCTTAAGCGAAACAATATTGTGGCAGCTGAGAGGTTTGCTGGTGGTGGTTCAAACCTCAGCGCTAAGTCCAGGGATCCACAACACATCCAAAATTTCATCCAGCCCATAAACAGGGACAGTCCAAGTCCTAGGATGTCAAAACAGGATTTAAAAACAACAGCTCCAGCTCTGCATCAGCCACCACTGGAGCACCACTGGGAGCCAAGTGCTTAGCGAAATCCCAGCTCCCAGCTCTGAGAACACACAGCCTTCCCCAAAGCGCTTGGGATGGAACAAAGTCATCAATCAGTTATTTTCACTCCGATCTCTGTAAACAGGAGCAAGTTCAGAGACACAGAGCAGGGGAAAAAAAGCGTCAGCTCCTTCTGGTGTCACGGGCAGAGAGGAGCAGAACGTGGCCCCGCTGGTCCCTCGTGGACTTCACAGGGTGCAAACCCCACTGATCCCCATTGTGGTGCAGTGATTTTGGTGATGGTCATTGTGTCAGTGGCGTACTGGACAGGAGGGGAAGCACAGACAGCTGGGTGAACATCATGGCCATGTTTTCCCCTCGTTTGGGCAAGAGAAGAGCGATGGACATGCCCTGAGAAGGAGTGTGGACAGGGAAGTGGGGTCCCACTGCCTGTATCATGGTCCTTGTGCACTACTGCATCTCGGTGCTGGGCTGGGGGAAAGCATTCAGCATGGCAGCATTCCCATCAATACACTATTGTTTTCTAATTATGCATCCGCGAGCAAATCATGGAAAAAAGTCTGTAAGAGCCAGCTGGGCCTCCCAGGGCTCATCGTGGCGTGGGGCGTGAGGGGAATGTGGCCTCTCCAGCCCTTGGCTTTATGCAGGGAAATGCCAGCAATGGATAAGCAGGTCAAATAATCATAGAATCGAGGTTGGAAAACACCTCTAAGATCATCCAGTCCAAACACCCACCTACCACCAGTATTATCCACTAAATCACGTTCCTAAGTACCACATCTACACATGTGAGCTGCATCCTTCCCCATGGCTATGGGCAGCATCCTGCCTTCCCCTGAGCATCCCTGGGCTGTGATCAGCCTAACCTCGCACCAAGGCAACTCCTGACCTGGCTGCTCCTTGCTCGCTGGATAAACATTCTACCATTTCTTGGCAAATCCCAGCTTGTTTTCTTCTTTTCCCTCATAAACAGAAACAGGAGTCATCTCCGGGCACCTCCAATTAATTTTTATGTGACACTGATCAATGTCTTCCTGCACTGCTCCCCCTGGCAGCAGGGCCAGGAGGGATTACTAAGAGGGCAGCCTGTTCTATTCTGCCCTGTCCCCATCCTGAATGCACACTCCATCTTGTGCCACGCTGCAGCAGATATGGCCCCACAGGCATACACGCTTGCACATGGCTCCAAACTTCCTTTTTGTGGAGTTCCATGGGGGGGGGGAAATAAGGGGGGGGCGCACCAGGAGCTTTGCCAGTTGTCCCCATGGCTCAAGAGAGATGAGGGCACACTGACTTGCAAGGAGGGTCCCAGCGAGGATGGCATCCTGCCTCTGCAGCTATGTGCTGCTCCATAGGATCAGAGAATATCCCAAGCTGGAAATAAACCACTGAGACCACTGATCCATCTCCTATATCCACGCAGGGCCACCACAAAACCATAGAATCACTAAGGTTGGAAAAGACTGCTGAGATGCCCAAGTCCAACACCAGCTCACCTCCCACCATGAACACTGCGTCCCTCAGCATTACATCTCCACAGTTCTGGAACACCCCACCACTCCTTGGGCAGCCTGTGTCAGTGCAGCTCTCTCCAAACCCTACTCCTGAGAGAGGTGTTCCAGAGCTGCCTGAACTCTGGCTCAGGCCTGAGCATTCCATGCCCACTGCGTGCTGGGGCAGAACCTTCTCCTGGAACACCATGGGATCCAAGCAAGCATCTGGCCACATCCCATGCCCCATATACCCAGGACAGCTATATGTATCCCAAATGTGAGGAACCCTTGGGGCACTGAGGGGCACCACCTCATCCCCAGCCAGCTGGGAAACTCAGAGCATCCTCACTGCAGCACCTGTGGGATATCCCGTACAAACTGCCACTGCCGTTCAACTGGGAACCGAACCCGGAGCATCTCCCGCAGCACAGCCTGATGACACTGACAGCTCAGCGTCCCCGACTTGGCCACAACTCCAACCCCAAAGCCCCACTCCCGCAGCCCAGCCCCGTGTTTACCATCACCTCGCCGAGGGATTTATTCCGCCGGCGCTTTCCTCGCCCGCCCGACCCGCTGCAGCCCGTGGCGCGGTGCCATTCCGGAGCCTCACGCCGCGCTATATAAGCGCTCTCCGCGCTCAGACTGTGGGGACCGTGTGCTTTGCAGGCAGTGCTGAGGCGCGGGGAAAGCGCGGCTCCGCAAACCCCTTCGGCTGCTTCCAGCCCGCTCTCCCTGGAACGAGAGGACGGGACATTCCTTCGTTGGAGGTTTTATGGTTTTTGTAGGTAAGAGAAAAAAATAATAATACCAGAGAATCACTCTAAGCTTTTCCTTCCTCTGCAGCACAGGCGTTATATAACTTCGCTGGGTAATTAAGGCAGTGTAATTGCAAACGGCTGTGATTGAGGGTGAAGTGGGAATTGTTGCTGCGGTGTGGGAGGCTGCCGGGCTGCTCGGCATCCCCAGCCATCCCGTTGCAACGTCAGCAAATGGGTTTCGCACAGGGTCCGGAGGGGAGTTTGAGGATAACAGAACTCTGTTCCTGCACTTTGTCCTGCAGCACTTTGGGACTGAGCCCCAGAGAGGGGGGACGTGTCCCTGAATCTCTATGAAACCCCGGATGAGTCGCAGCCGGATCCCAAAATAACCTGCAAGTGGGAACGGGGCTTTCCGCCTGCATGCATTTCTCCTGGTTATTGTCTGGCTGTGAGTTCGTGACCCTGCCGTAAGCTCACAAAATCCTGCTCATGTGTTGCTCGTTATTTGTGCTTGACTGGGATTCGCTGAGCTGTAATCAAAGTATTTCCTATTCTCATAGCACCCGTTCTTGGGGAGGCTAGTTAGTTACAAGCAGAGGCAGTTTTGTTGCTTGCAGCCTTGGGTTGGGGTAAACTGAGGCACTGAGCAGCTACGGCAAACATGGAATCACAGAATACCCCAATTATCCCCCAGATTCATTTGTTGTGATGCACAACACAACATGTCCATAACTGCAGCAGGGTGACTGAGCAACAGCTGCTCAAAACCTGGGTACCTCAGTGCTCAAAGCCACAGGGCTACGTGATGGAAAAAAAGGACAATTTCTGGCTGCTTGCTGACAATCACAGCATCACAGTAAGAGCTTGGCTTATGCTTTGCCTGTGAGCCTTCCCAGGAGCTCTGAGCCCAGGCTGTGGGCAGAGGGACGGGGGCTGAGGCTCTGCAGAAGCACTTATCCTGAAAAGGGCCCAGTAAGGAGATGTCATTACAAAGCACTCTTCTGCAGAAAAGATTCGAAGCGGGGATGGGATGCCACTGCAAAGAGCAGCAGGATACGGTGCCTCCGCCATGGGGGGACAAATGGGTAGGAGCTGCCACAAGTGGATAACCTCTGAGAGAGATTTCTGCAATGGGAATGGGGCGACGTTTGGTGAACAACCAGGATGGGAGGTTGGGCACCTGCTGGGAGCAGCATCCCGTAGGTAGGATTTGACACAGCTAGGTTTGTCCCCATAGGTCTGAGGGACGTGGGACAGCTCCAGGTCCTTGAGGAAGCTCCCAGTTACCTCTGGACATGATGCTGGTTACCGCAAGAGGATGGATGCTGCTGCTACTGCTGCTGTTGGGAGCCACAGCCAGTTCAGGTGAAGGTGCAACATTGGTGACCCCAAACACAGTTCTGACGAGGCTTAGTGGGTGTGGTGGTGATGGGTTGATGGTTGGACTCGATCTCAGAGATCATTTTCAACCTTGATGATTCTATGAAATCAGCAGACACAGCGAGGGCAGAGTGCCCATCTCCAAGATGAGCAGGACCCAATTTACTTAGATAGGTTTTGTATAGCAGGGTGCCTGCAGGCTGTCTGGATTTGTTTTGAGGGCATGGAGGAATTTTGCTCTGAAGGGCTCTGGCGACAAGCTTGGGGATAAGCACAGAAAGGTCAGAACTTGATGGGGAGGTTCCAGACCCCTGCTCTGCATCAGGCAGCCCTGGGCTCAGCTCCCCGGGTTAACCCAAGCTCATCCCTTCATTGGATTTGTTCCTCCCCCATGCAGGGAGAGGGGGGATGCATCTTATTCCTCCAGATATAAAAAGATGTTTTGGTCACAGCTGCTCCAACACAGAGGGCAGCAAGCCCAAAACGCAGCAGGGCCAGGGGAAATCCCAGCAGGAGGGACGTGGAACACAGCCAAACTATGCCTGACCACTCACATCCAATTATATTATTAATAATAATCTATTTTAATCTCTAATTTCTTGAACCCCTAGGTCAAAGGCTTGTTAGACAAGGCCTTGGCAGGATCCAGATAGGACAGAAAACCTTCAGACCGATAGTGATGCTCAGCCTAGAGGGTAAGTTACGTTCTACCCTGATGGCTTCCCCTTACTGGGACATCTTATTCTTTTCAGTCTTCATTTCAAACTGAATCAATTCACTGGAGTAGATCGGACGTTGAGACAGTGGAACAAATGGTGCTGACCCCGCACCCTCCTGTTGGAGCTCTGGCTGACACACACCACTGGCTTCAGTCCTGGAAAGCTGAAGGTCAGCTGCGTGACCACAGCTTGTCCTTGGGGCCATGGGGTGAGGATGGCGGCGCTGTGGGTTACACCCAGCAAAACACTGAGGTTTGGGCCACAGCAATTAGAAAACTAGACATCTGCCTTTCACTGCAGTAAGCCCCAACCTCAATATTTACCTCTGGGAGTGGGTCTAGAAGACCTCCATGAGTTGAGCATGCAGGGTCATACCAGACATCCTCTGCCCACAGGTACGAGGAGCAGCCCCCGCCGGTTGGACCCGATCTTCACCAGTGCCAGACGCAGTATGTCCTGCTTCCCTTCCTCACTCCCCATGCACCCCTTGGCTTCTCCCTGCCCTCTGCTTTTCCCACAGTCAAGGTGCTGTCTGGAGCCATTGGCCTCCCCTCTGCCTTTCTTACCATCACCAGCCCTGCAGATTCAAGCACCTGATAGCTGCTGATAGCCAGAGCTGTGAAGGGCTGTAGAGAAACACAACATCAATCTGTTGCAAACTGAACACTTGCTTGGGGCAAAGATGAACAGCATTTCTGAGTGTGCTCCTAGAAAGAGACTGTGTCTCCAAATGCACCTCCTCCTGCATCCCCTCAGTGTCACCCCAAATTATTAAATAATGTCTATCTATGTACCAATGGGGATGGTGAACTGGAGAAGTTAATGTGCCAACAGATTAAGAATCTATCCAGCTAAGCCAGGCACTTGCTCCAAACCAGACATTGCACTGTTGCTGTCATTTAAGTCATCTGTTCCAGCCACAAAATCCCCCTACAACACCTGCTTGTGGAAGCCAGGGTTCATTTTCAAAACCTGCTATTCCAACACTCCAGACACAACCTTGCCTGCCTCTTGGCAGACATAACTTGCCCTGGCATACAGTGAGCCTTGTGGAAGTACAGGTGTGGGAGATGGTGTGGTGCACGCACATGTTTCCAAGAGATCTCATTTTTAGAGCATTTAGTCACCAGCACATCTTCGTAAACATTATTAGAACATCGTCATTTAAAAATAACCCCTAACCACAGGCTGGGGTGGATCTCACCCATTCAAACAGCTTAAATTAATTACGTCCAGTAACTTTTAAAGGAATTCCTTGGAACATCCAACCGCACACCAAACTCCCAATAAACCTCTTTGTGTTTGACAAATCAGCAGAGCCCCAGCATGCTCAGCATCTCAGCCTTCTGTTCTGCACACAGCAAAGCTGGTGCTCCCAACACGACACAGAGTCTCCTTCTCTGGAGATGTTCAAGACCTGCCTGGATGCCTACCTGTGCGACCTGCTGTAGGGAACCTGCTTTGGCAGGGGGGTTGGACTCGATGATCTCTGGAGGTCCCTTCCAACCCCTACAATTCTGTGATTCTGTGACACACGCTTCCCCTATAGAGAACATATGTTGAAGTAGGGTTAAAGGCATTCAGCACAGCCCTACCAACAATAGCACCCTTCTTTGTTGCTTTTTTCATTTAACCACATGCAAGCACTGCCACTCAGACAGCACTCAGTTGACAATGTGGGTTTGAGCTCCTCTAAGTCAAAGTTATTCGAGACTAAGCGTGAGCTGCTGCACTCTGCCCCTTAGGCTTACCTTAATTGTCCCAAATTCAGGCAATGATGTTTGAAGCATTGAGGCACCTTCACATGCTTTGTTTTCCAGCTCCCTCAACATGCTTTTGAGTTTGTGGTGCATAATATCCAAATACAAACTCATGCCCGAGCCACGTAGAAGCTGTATGGAAACTGCTTGCTTTGGGGCAGCCCTGCGTTGAATGTGTGTCTCACTAACACCCCAATGATGTCATTCAAGCTGTTCTGGTGCAAGATCCCAGAAAGTTCTTGTCTCCGTGGTCAAAATGGAGCGAGTGCTCAGGACAGTGTGGCCAAACTGGTGTGCAGAAGCGGACCCGATCCTGCCTGGCGGATCGCCTCTGGGGCGTGCACTGCAATGAAGTCATGGAGGAAGGGCGGCTCTGCATCGGACACGTCTGCTCAGGTGCTCACATAACCTTGGTTATGTTTTTTTACTCCCCTCATAGTCACGTTACCTCAGTTCTCCTCCTTGCCAAAGTTCTGAGAGCTGCCTGCAGCCAGCCCCAGGAAGATGTTACAGCAGGTTGTAATTCATTGTATTACAGTTATACTCCCCTTTTAAACAAATCACTCCGAAAAACAGTCTGTGTTTTCTCCAGGAAAGTTGTTATGGGGTTTTCTCCGGGTTCTTCTTTTTATTGCTGCAAATAAATAGATTATCACACAGCTGCTGTAGGCGGAGGCTCTGTGATTGTAAAGGGAGTGCCCTTGTAAATGGAAAGAAACAGGGACATGTAAGATTAACTGCTATAGGTAAGAAAACATCACAGAATCACTCTTTGGGAGACTATTTGTTGGATTCATCAGATCATGCTTATTCAACAGTTAGGCTATTAGGACCTAGCCTACGTCCTATGCAAGCCAGGATGCTGCTAAGAGAGGCGGCTTTTAAGACAAACCAATGCCGTGGCATTTGGGCATGGGCTGGCAACAGGAATCTACAAAGCTGAAGGCATTTGGATTTGTGATTTTGCCAGGGTTCAGCTCACATGCAGATTGGGATTCAAGCTTCCCTGAAATTCAGCCCTTTGGGGATGGTAATGAAAAGTTGCTAGCTGTAATTACATCCATGTGGGTGCTTTCTACTAATTACGAGGCTCAGCACTCCATCAGCCCCACGTTTTTAATACGCAGCTGCTGATAATCTCTGGAAATACATTTTGGATACAATCTATTCCTTATGCAGTATCTGCCCTATTGCATCTAAATGGAAAGCAGGCGTGAGGCCATGCTAGGAGCGTGGCAGGGCATCAGGCTGCTTCCTTACCTACCTGCCTTACCCCAGGCTGCAACATCACCTGCCCCATGGGCCGCGTGAACGCCGACTGCGATGCATGCATGTGCGAGGATGTGACCCTGCATGGAAAGGTCTCCTTGGAGGATGGTTCACCTGCAGACAACGCCCGGGTCTACCTGCAAGCCAACAATCTCAAGCTGTTGACGACAGCTGACAATAAGGGCACGTTTAGGATTCCTGGGGTCTGTCCCGATGGCAGCAACACCCTCAAAATAAAGAAAGCCAAATACACGACCGCAGCCATCACTGTACCGGAGACCAACAGGAAGAACCTGGCGCTCCAAGTGCAGCTGAAGAGATCAGGTAGAACTATAGAGACAGGGAAGCCCAGCACCTTTAAGAGCAACTAACAAAAATAAGAGTAATGAGGCTGTCTTTCATCCTCCTGTAGGCAAACCCTATGTTTTCAAGAGCCCTGATGACAAGGCGAGGAGAGTGGGGCAGAGCGTGTCACTCTGCTGCAATGCTGTGGGGACTCCGGCCCCAGACCGCTATCTGTGGTAAGGAACTCCCATTGATCCCATACCACCTGGCAGAAGGGCAGAAAGCTGGAGCTGTGCGCCCAGGGGAGCCTCATGAGGCTCAACAAAGCCAAGGGCAAGGTGTTGCATTGGGTTGCAGCAACAGCTGCTATCAATACAAGCTGGCTATAAAAAGAAGGGGACAGAATTCATCAGGGTCTGACGTGAGAGGACAAGGAGAAATGGTTTCAAACTAAAATGGGAGATTGCACTGGATGTAAGAAAAAAGTTGTCTCCAATAAGGGCTGTGAGGCACTGGCACAGGCTGCCCAGAGGGGTGGTGGGTGCCCCATCTGTTGGGACACTCAAGGTCAGGCTGGATGGGCTCTGAGCACCTGGAGGAGCTGTAGGTGTCCATGCTCATTGCAGAGCAGTTGGACAAGATGGTCTTTAAGGGTCCCTTCCAACTCCAACGATCCCACTAATTTTGTTGATTTGTACCTCCTTTCCATCTCCATAAAGCTGGATTGTTTTTTTTTTAAGCATAAATACACTGAGAACCCCGTGCTACAAATGATCATTTCCTGCACATTTGCAGAGCTGGCATTTCTCGCAGGTGCAGTAATATAATCTGCAGAGGGACTTAATGGAAAAACACCCAGATAGGAGTTTCAAAAACCTTGGCAGGCATGACTGACAGCTGTGTCTGGAATGGGTTTTAGGGGAAGCCCCTGCAAGAATTTGCAGCATGAGTAGCACCCCATGCAACACAGTGGGGAGATGCTTTTAAGCATGACCACAAGTCTGAAAGGGCAGCTCCTGGGACAGGGCTGCTCCATGATATAAGTGGTGTAACAGAGGGAGGAGGTGTGGTAAAATCCACACAGACAGGATCTGGGCCCTGCTCTGCCCAAGCCATGCGGTCAGGCCTCTGTCCCATTAACCATCTGCCTGTTCCTGGCAGGTACCACAATGGCTCCCTGCTGGATCCTTCTATATATAGATACAAAAACAACCTCATTCTGAAGAACCTGAACAGAGGGCAGGCAGGAGAATATTTCTGCAAGGCCATCAGTGATGGAGGTTCAGCAAAATCCCAACCTGCCACGCTTTCTGTAATAGGTAAGAGAAAACGTGTGTGATTTGCTCCAAGCAGCAGGGGTACAGAAAGTGCTCAGAAATTATGACCCATGCATGAAAGGAAAGGTGCAGGAAAAACATTCAGGTGCTATTTTACGCACCCATTAGCAGACAAGCCTGACTGTGCTGGTTATCAGCCAGCTGCTCGCTACAATCCGGAGCTCTGGGTTTCAGAATGACCTGCCAAACTTAATCCACTGGGCAGCCATTTCTCACTGTAATCACTGCCCAGCGTGTGAATATTTCTGTTTCTTTTTTAAATCCTGGGACCCATTTAAGTCTGTTCATAGCCAAGAAGCCAGGCAGCTGCTGAGCATGTAGCTGGTAAGGAGGAGCTGGGACACTCCTGCAAACAGAACTGCTCTTAATCAGGTGCCTTAAACTAAAGCTGAGCACCTGCTGCAGTGTAACAAAGGCCAGATGAATCCAGCTAACCAAAATTCTGCAAACCATCTGTTTTATTGCTGCAAAAGCCTCCCTGTGATTGGAAGCAATGTTTAGCTCAGAGGGTTTCTGACCACATACAGATGACTGTACAATTATTTCATGCTGCTCATTAAGAAATGCTATTCAACAGGAAAACAAGAGGCAGCCTGCAGCTCCCAGCCCCAAAGCCACCTCATTCGTCTTCCGCACGACTGTTTCCAAAAAGCAACTGACTCGTTCTACTACGACGTGGGCAAGTGCCCAGCAAGGACCTGCGTTGGGAAGCTGGATAAGGGGCTCCGCTGTAAGGACAACATCTCCTACTGCTGTGGGGTGTCTAAGATGGAAGTGAGAGAGATCCTGTGCGATGGGTACACGCTCCCCACCAAAGTCGCCGTAGAATGCGGCTGCAAAAAATGCACCGAGACAAAAATAACAGTTCGGGGCAGAGCTACAGCGGTGGATAACGGTGAGCCACTGAGGTTTGGCCACATCTACATGGGGAACAAGAGAGTGAGCATGACTGGCTACAAGGGAACCTTCTCCATCCACGTCCCACCGGATACTGAAAGACTGGTTCTAACCTTCGTTGATCGGCTGCAGAAGTTTGTGAACACAACAAAAGTTTTGCCGTTCAAGGAAAATGGAGGTGCTGTGTTTCATGACATTAAGTTACTACGAAAGAAAGCCCCTGTTACACTGGAATCCACTGAAACCAGTGTAATTCCCTTGGGAGAAAAGGAAGATGAGGATCCTATTGCTGAATTAGAAATCCCTCCTGATTCATTTTACAGGAAGAATGGAGAACCTTACAGAGGAAAAGTGAAAGCCAGCGTGACGTTTCTGGACCCAAGAGAACTCTCAACAGCGCCTGTGACACAAAGCGACCTGAACTTTGTAGATGACGAAGGAGATGTGTTCCCACTCCGCACGTATGGCATGTTTTCCCTGGACTTCACTGATGAACAGGGCACCGAGACTCTTAATGCAGAAGATGTGAAGGTCCACTTGGACACTGCTCAGGTGAGGATGCCAGAGCACATACAAGAAATGAAGCTTTGGTCACTGAACCCTGAGACAGGCTTATGGGAGGAAGAGGGGGACTTCAACCTGGAGAAGAGCAGACGGCGCAGAAGAGAGGAGAGGACTTTTTTGGTTGGGAACATGGAGATCAAGGAAAGGCGGCTTTTTAACCTGGACGTCCCAGAGAGCAGACGGTGCTACGTCAAAGTCCGAGCATACAGAAGCGAGAGATTTTTGCCAAGCGAGCAGATCCAAGGGGTGGTGATTTCTGTTATAAACACAGAGCCAGAACCAGGGTTCTCCTCCAACCCTAGAGCATGGGGCCGTTTTGACAGCGTGGTCACTGGTCCCAATGGTGCTTGTGTGCCAGCTTTCTGTGACGAGCAGAACCCGGAGGCCTATGCAGCTTACATTTTGGCAAGCTTGGGGGGTGAAGAACTTGAAGCAGTGCCCTCTGCTCCCAAACTCAATCCTAATGCCATTGGCGTCCCACAGCCATATCTCAACAAGCTCAACTACAGGAGAACAGACCACGAGGATCCTAACACAAAGAAAACCGCATTCAGAATCAATATGGCCAAGCCAAGTCCAAATTCTGCAGATGAGAACAACGGCCCTATTTATGCCTATGAAAATCTGAAAGAATGTGAGGAAGCTCCATACAGCGCTGCTCACTTCAGGTTTTACAGGATAGAGGGAGATCGGTATGACTACAATACTGTTCCCTTCAGTGAAGATGACCTCATGAGTTGGACCGATGACTATCTGGCATGGTGGCCCAAACCCATGGAATTTAGGGCTTGCTACATAAAAGTCAAAATTAATGGACCCCAAGAAGTGAACATAAGGTCTCGCAACATGGGTGGGACGCATCCACGCACCATTGGCAGGCTCTATGGCATCAGGGACGTCCGCAGCATTCGGGATCCTGAGCAGCAGGACGTGTCAGCAGCCTGCCTGGAGTTCAAGTGCAGTGGCATGCTCTTTGACCAAGACCGTGTGGATCGCACGCTTGTGAAAGTCATCCCACAAGGCAGCTGTCGCCGGGAGAGCGTTAACAGCATGCTCCACGAGTACCTGGTGAACCACCTCCCCATGGCTACCAACAACGATTCCAGTGAATACACAATGCTGGCACCCCTTGACCCCCTGGGGCATAACTATGGCATCTACACCGTCACCGACCAGGACCCGAGGATCGCCAAGGAAATTGCTTTGGGCAGGTGTTTCGATGGCACATCAGATGGCAGCTCCAGAATCATGAAGAGTGATATCGGTGTTGCGCTGACTTTCACCTGTTCGGAGAGGAGCGCAGCAGAGCAAAGCTTATTTGAGTCCCAGAGGAACTTAGGCCAGCAGTCCGTGCAGGTACCACCAAGGGAGAGCCCTGCATACCAAAGGCCGGTGGGAAGCCGCCAGATCACCCAAAGCAGAATCCAGATGAGAGGTCAACGTCCTTCTTCATACTAGAGCTATAGAGGAGCCTAGGTAAAGTCACTCACGTTTGATTAAAAAAAAAGTATCTACCTGCAAATAGCCTAATTCAAAGCAGGTAGATGTCAGCATTTTTGAGACATTATATTCCCCTCCCACTCCCTTTTTTTTTTTAGTTTTATTTTTGCATTGCACCGCAAAGGAAAGATATAAGGCAGTCCTTGTTAGTGAATTCCTGCCTTACTAAAAGCATCAAAAAATCTGAGATAAAACAACTTCACCTGATAGCCTAAAGGGAAGACTAAACACACAGTTCAATTAAGTCACATACACAAGACATCCTCCTATTCTGCATTTGCAGACTTTGCTAGCCCAAGTACCTGTACAGTAGTTGGTAACATGAAAAGGAATAAACTGATTTTCCCATACTGAATTCAACTGCAAGGTTTTGTACTTGAAATGTAAGTATTTTATTTATTTCTAGCTTGTTTTAGAACGATTGTATTCGAGCTAAACTACCACCAGCTGCATTTCTAAGAAGCCATATGCTTGAGAGCACAGAGAAGCCATATGGATTTGTAGGCTCCGCATGGATAAAATTAGTTTTCTCTTGCTTCTTGCATGGTTTTTCTTCTCAAGTAATGCTCTACAATAGGGTAGATGAATTTAAAAAAAAAAAAAAAAAGCCATTTTGTGTAATTTTGGCAATGCTATATTACCTTTGTGTTTGACATGCCCAAGTAAATAAACCATGTGTAGAGCTGACCAAAGAACAACCTACAAAATTTCACTTTTCAATGTGAGACTGACACTGGGTATTGGAAAGGGATTTGGTGGGTAGCTGCTGCTCCCAAGTCCAAGGCATTGCCCCAGAACGCTGTAGTCAGGGAATCAGTCTCCAACTTGCAAGCAGCACCACATCCACGAGATTAAGAGGGGCAGCAAGTGCTGGGAGGTCAGGGCAAGGGGTGCCTAAAAGGGAGCAGCAGAGTTCCTAGAGTTTGAGAGCACTGGGAAGGAAAAAGGCTGGGGACAAGTGTTTTAAAGATGACAGAAAATGTAGGTAACACATAAACACAGATGGCCACAGAAGAGGTCAGAGTGTGACCAAACTCCAAGAGCTCTACTTAACACAGTGCCCTACAAAACCCCACAGCCTTTGCACCACTACTTGTAGAGAGGAATCTGGGATCTCATCAGCACAGAGCACATCCCAGGTTTGCACCCAAACATATCCGGCAAACTTTTTCGCAGCAGGTAAGCCAACAGGCCTCCAGCACTCAAATCTTCACAGACAGGGATCACAAAAAAAGGGCTCCTTTTTAACGAAAACTGACTTGAAACGCACACCC